TGGGTGTCAGACAAACAGCATTCATCCCAGGGCTTCTTTAGGAGTTTGGGGGAGTAAAGTATCACTCCAGTAGGGGATGATCAATAAGGACCATCTAAGCAAAGTAGACATATAGTAGTCTGTGAGACCACATGCATCTAAATGCCCTGAGGGAGCAGGCTGATATCACTGTGAGACTGCTTTCTAACATCTTCAAATGTTCATGGTGACAGAATAAGATCCCAAATAATCCAAAAATCGTAAATGTCTCCAACTTAAATAAGTCAGGAAGGAAGCTGTGGGGAACTACAGGCCATTCTGCAGGAAGATTATGGAGAAAATTGTCCTGGAAATAATTTCTGCACACATGAAGGACAAGAAAATGATGTGGAATAGTCAGTATGGATTTACCAAGGGCAAATTCTGCCTGACCAACATAATTGCCTTCTACAGTGAAATGACTGGCTGTGTGCGGAAGGGGAGAGCAGTGGGTCTTGTCTCTAGTTAGGCTTTCAACATGGTCTACCACAAAATCCTTATAGCCAAACTGGGCAGATATGGGCTGGCTGGGTAGTTTAAAAAATGGGTACAAATTTGTGGCACTACAATGGTTAAATAGCAGTGGCTGATCACTAGTGGCATTTCCCCATGTTCAGTACTAGAGCTGATACTGCTTACAGTCCTTGCCTACAACCTGGATGATGGTGGCAAACCCTCCCAGCAGCTGACACCAAAATGCGGGGAGCAATCAATACACTGGTGGGCAAGGCTGCTTCTCACAAGGATCAAAACAGCCTGGAGAACTGAGCTCACAGAAGTCTCATGAAGTTCAACAAAGACAAATGCAAGTCCAGCACCTGGGACAGAATAATCCCATGCAACAGTACAAGCTTGGCACTATCTAGAGAACATCTTTGCAGATGTTGATGCTGTTGTTGCATCTGTAGATATGGTGAAAAATTTGAATATGAATCAGCTCTGTGTCCTAGCAGTGGTGAAGGCATGACACATGAGAAAACTGAAAACTGTGTTTGTTCAGCCCCTTTAAAGAAGAGAAAGAGGAGAATTTGCTGTATTCAACTACATATGGATGGTTACAGAAAAAATGGAGCCAGACACTTCTTGGAAGTGCACAGCAAAGGGTTGAGAGGCAATGGGCACAAAAGGCAGAAGGACAAATTCAGAGAAATTTGTTTGAATGTAAGGAAGAAAATCCTTTCCAATGAGGGTAGTCAAATGCTGGAAAAGGGACAGAGAGGGTGATAGGTAGAATCTTTGTTCTTGGAGGCTTCTGAAACCACAAGACATAGCCCTGGGCAACCTGTTCTAACTTTGAAGTCAGGCCACCTACGACTGGGATTTGGATCAGTCCAACCAGACCTCCAGAGATACCTTCAACCCATTATTTTTCTCTGATTCCCAGCTTTCTCTCCTCTTCAATGAAAGCAACAAAGTCTTGCTTCCAAAATTACATTGACTATACAGGTATCTGAGGTTTGTTTTGTTGTTGTTGTTTTGTTTTGTTTTTATCCTGTAAGACGTCATTACTCTGTAACCAGCATTTATATTAGCATGCATAAGCAATCCATGTAATTTATATCTTAGGAGAATGGTTTCAAATGGTAACACCCCCCCATATTATCTGCATCACTTATGTGTTGTAGAAAAGAAAGTGTGGTTATTTCTGTTGGTTTTTTTTGCAGTCAGTTTTTCCATTTTATGTGGAACCTTTGAAAGACAATGATGATTCCAGTATGCTAGTTAAAACCCCCTTTTCCTTCAAAATCCAGCAACCAGCATGATTTTAGTAAGTACCTATGGGAGACTTTACTAAAGAACCCCACAATAAGTTTGCTCCATTGCCTCTTCATTTTCATCCACTTTCCAGGAGTCAATTATTTTTGTATGTGAATATCTGGAATGTACTTGAACTTTTAAAGAACTTAAATTCAGTGGACCAGATTCTCATCTGTGATAAAAACATAATTGTGTGACTGTGTATCTGTACACACATTGTAAAGGGAACTTTTAGACACTGTTGGATTGCCTCAGCTTGCAGTGTCAGGATGATAACCATAATAATTTATATTAGCTGGCTTTTGAGATCCTTTCTTCCTCTTCCCCAGCTTTAGGGGATGGCAATAAAGGAAAGCTGTAGGATGCTGCTGCACATCAGGCTCTAGGTCACTATGTCTCCTTACATTGAGAGCTGTCATTACTGCTCGTGAGAGCTGTGATCTGGGCCTGTGATTATTTTAGTACCTGAAGTTTAATATTAAGAGAGTTGGAAGACCCAATCAAAACCTAATCTTTAGGAACAAAATGAGAAACCAAGAAACTAACTGTTAAACTGAAAAACAGTGCCACAACTGGCATTTTTAGTTAGTTTAAATTAGTAGTATGGTGAATGATGGGAGGGGAGGAGTCTCTTGGGAAAGATAAAGGAGTAAAATTGTTGTTAGACATTGATAAATTCTTCAGTTCTTAGAGACAAAATCTATATGTGGCTACCAAATATAAATTTTCCTTTATTCAGCTACTTGGAACATGCATGCCTCTGAGTAAAATTGGTGTTTAAAAATTTGCATATCAGATCCACATATATGCAACTAGTCAGAAACAAGTTTTTATTTTCCTGATTTTTATTCTGTGCTGTATACCTTCAAATGAAAATGCTAAAGTTACTCCAAACACTACACCTACTGCAAGTGCCAGTGCCCATTTTCATGTTTTATGCTTGTCTTTTAACACGTGGAAGAGCCCTACAAATTGATGAAAAGTAAGAAATAGTGACACTAACTCAAAACCAAAACAAGCTGAAGGAATAAAGACAGAACATTCATGTAATAATTGTGTTTTGTGACTGTATTGTGCTTTAAGGCCACAGCATTCAGCTGGGGATTTTCTAGTCAGAAAGACATAAATACAGGTTGTGAAGGGCAAAGTCCGCCAATCTGGTGTTTCCAGAAAATGGTAAATTTATCATATTGTGCATGTGCAGCATGTAAAAATGCACTTTTGGAGATGAGTCAAACTTACCAAGTAAGCATCTGTAACACCATCTGCACTGTATAGGTGCAACGAATCATTTCAGTTCTTCCCAAGAGTGTCTTTCAGGAGATGGTTTCATGCGCATAGTGTCACACAACCTGTGTGTGAGAATGTGAGTACTGCAGATTTGTTCAGATTTTCAGATGTTGTGCAAAGACATCTGGAACAACTGCTCATGTGCAGCAGCATCACGTCATAAATAATGAGCACATTTTTCAAGATTTGCACAGACAAAATTCCTGAGTTTCAAACCAGATCAGTGTACCTCTTGCTTTGTCTGCTGCTTTTTCTTCTGTTGTTTGCATGGGACTTGTTTGTTTTAATTGGGTGATGATAGTTCTGTGTTTTCAGATGTGTTTGCCAAATTCTGTAACAGCAGGACACCAACATGAAACTAGCAAGTATCCTCTGGTCTTATGCAGTCAGCTTGAGTGTAATGATATGTGCAGGTAGAATAGTGCTCCTATAACGACAAGGTGTTTGCTATGTCCAAGGTGCAACAGCTGCTGTAGTTGCATTTTACTTGCTGTAGTTGCATTTTCAGTGTGCTTTCACTGCTTTTAATCCAGTAACTTGTGGTCCTACACTGACACAAGAAAAAGGAAAGACTACCCATGCTATTATGTATTCTGGATCCCTGGTCATTTTACACTGGGGGGACAGAAGCATCTAATCCCTGTGAATCCACATTATTTTGGGTCTGCCTCATGTCCTGAAATTACACTGTTAATAGCAGCACAATCTTGGTTGTTTCAGTTCCCTCTACATCATTTTTGGCTGTCTGCAAATCTAGAAACACAGTTACCAACTGGGGAAATCGTGATGTTATTGTATCAGCTTCCAATGAATGAGATAGGACCACATTTGTCTTTACGACCAGCAGCTTTTTAATTTGGCTGCAGTCAGCATCCAGGCATGTATGTGTACTGCAGTGCTTTCTGCAACAGTGATTGTGACAGCTGCATACCAGACTACTTTTAACTTTCCTTTTCCATACCGGGCACTTTGTATTTCATCCTACAGCTGCATCACTGTGTGTAGGGTAGTCAACATTAAGCCCTTAAGGTCTGTATCTGCTTTGAAAAAAAAATAAAAAATCAAACATTCTACAGATGCGTACTTACATAGAAAAACTGTAGCATGAACAACAAGAGGAGAACTGTTTCACTTCCCTCTTCTGTTTCTCACAAAGTTGACTATGAACATTATGTATGATGTGGTAACAGTTAGGGACTCACCAAAAGGTCTTTTCTTAAAACTGTCTATTATACTAGCTGGTAGAATTAAAAATACACAACAGACGATCAGGTATATCAGTACTTCTCAATGCTGCATGCATCCATCTCCATTTAACTTAGTAGTGAACCAGAATTATAGGAGAAAACTGAGAATTTGACTCTGTTTTATGTTACTTTAACGAACTAGGGCTCTTTCTCACCTTCTTTGGCTCTCTCCCCTCCACTTCTCTGCACACCCTTTTGATTGGCACAAAACACAGCGAGATAAATTAGGAAACTGTGCTTTTACTTATCCTTACCCAGGAATATTTCCCTCTGTTAATCAGTAGTCGTGGCAGACGACTGCGAACCGCCACCCGTCTTTAAGCCGGTCTTTAAATCCGTCTTCTTAAGAGACTCGTACTGTCTTCCCTCACTACCTCCCGAGTGCAGGTGCACAGACCAAGCCCGCTCCCCCACCGCTCCCGGAAGAGGGGCTCGGACGAGTCCCCAGCTCTCCCGCCGCCGGAGCTGCCGTGCATGACTCCCCTCTCCCTCTGGAGGGAGACACAGTCCAGCTTTTGGCTGCCGCCGGCGCCACAGCGTTCCTCCTGCCTCTGCCCCTGCTCCAGCCGCCGCGGCCGCTGCCCCCCTCCCCCGGCACAGCTGCCCGGCCCGGCCCGGCCCGGCCCGGCGCCCCCTCCCCGCCCGGCGCCCCGCCTTCCGCCGCAGTGACACAAGGGACTCTGAGGGCGGTGGCGGGGCCGCCGGGGAAGCTCGGGCATCTCCCCCTCCCCGGCCACGTGCGCCTGTGCAGAAACTCCGCACCCCCAGCCCGCCGCTTGGAGAGGACAGGAGGGACGGGAGAGCGGCGCCTCGGGGCGAATGGGGGAGGCGGCTCAGCTCCGGTGTGCGCGGGCCGCGGGGGCGGTCGCTGCCGACGGAGCTCCGCTCCTCGGTTACGCAGAGCGGTGGCCACGGGGACCTGGTGCCTCGTAAAGGGCTAGGGAGGAAAGCACCGAGTGGCTTATAAATACGGGGGAGGAGAGGGGCGTCTCCCTCGCTCCCCACCCCTTCCATCTCCCCCGCCGCGCACGGCGCGCTTGGAGCTCCTTCTGCTTGTCCGGGCGCCCGGAGCGGCTCCGCGCCCTAGTGCGGTGTGGTGCGGTGAGCGCAGACCGGGCGCGGGAGGCTGCTGCTGAAGGTGAATCTCTCGCTCTCCAATTACTTTTCCCAAGAGGGAGAAGGAGGCAGCAGGAGGGGGAAGTCGTGCTGTGTGTGGACCGCAACACCAATCAGAGATGCTCTAACGGAGGGTCTGCTGCAGGACGCGCTTCTCCTCCTTCCTCTGCCGGCGGGGCTGAATCGGGACCGCGCGCAGCTGGCGGAGGGGCCGGAGGCACACTGGGCTGCAGGACTTCCTCATCCTCCGCTTTTTCAATAGCTCAACCATACTTCGTCCTCTTTTAATTTTTTTTTTAATACTCTGAAATCGTGCACGAGAAACACTTCAAGTCTTCCCTCTCTTGTCAGTTCCTTCACCCTTCCTCTAGCATCTCTTAGCCGGATTTCTGGTGTATTGCCAGAGAGGCGGGGGGAGACTCGGGCCCCGCGGACGGCCGCTGCCCCAGCCCGGCCGAGCCGAAGGGAACGGAGCCGAGCGGAGCGGGCACGGCGCCGCTCCGTGCCCCCGGGCGCTGGCGGGGCGCGGGGCGTGTGCCGGAGATGCCCGGGCGGTAAAGCTGGAGCTCTCCCCGGACGGGAGGTGTCCGATCATTAGGCGTTTCTAGCAAGAATCGGGACTGCAGGTAGGTGAGCGGAGCGCTCCGGGGGCGTGTGTCTGGCCGGGCTCTAGTGGGGCCGCCGGGAAGTCGCCTCCGCGGTTGGCGGAGACCCCGCGGGGCTGCGGGCGCAAACGGTCGCGGGGGGACGGGCGTGGGGTGTGCGGGGCGGCTGCTGATGGCTGCGCCCTCCCGGTGCCCTAAAGTTGGAGGGAGCCGGGACTGAGGAGGAGCTGCTTTGCCGCTCTTCTGCTGGGTGCCTAGGGCAGCCAGCTACAGCCTTGCGCCGGGCGATCCACAAGGCTTTTGTTTTCCTTTTTCATTTTCTTTGACTTTACGGTTCAGCAGAGCCGGGGGCGGGGGGAGAGAGGGCGAGGGGGGCGTTGGCGGATGGAGTAGGGGAACTCTCCCATTTTTCAACTTTTATAGGAAGGGTGGCCGGTAACTCGCAGGACCTTCAGGGACTTGGGGGCGGTTACTCTGCCCGGACGCTTTATAGGCCGCCTTCAGAGAGCGGCTGAAAGAGCGAGGAGTCCCTTTATGTATCCTCTAAAAACGAAAAAAGCTATAAAGAGACAGTCTGTGGCTTCGTTTCTTTCTGCCTGTAGTGCTCCCCAAGTTGTGGGTATATAGTATGAAACATATCTTGTCTCTCCACGTTGCCTTCTTTGCATTTCAATGGACTTATTTATCTGCTAAATATATTTCAGGTTCTATATGCCACAATGAGAGGGCTTTTCCCTTATTCCATCCAATTTATAGCTTTGCAAGAGAAAGTTTGAAAATAACCTGCTTTGTTCCTGTGGAGCTGTAGGATTGGACACCACATTATTAATGCAAAGAATAAAGAGCAAGAGCTTGCACTGCCCTGTTAGGAGTTGCCATGCATGATTCATCTGTATGTTTCTTACCGTGAGTTAAAATCATTGCTTAAAGCATTTTAAAATGTATGTGTATTTACAGTTCCCTCTTTCCAGCTTTTGCTTGGAGATGATCAGTATTTTCTTTTAAAGCACTAAGTACCTCACTTCTACTAACCTTCCTCCTCCCCCCCAGTAGACACTTGCTCAGTATTTAAAGAACCGTTCTTCTACTCCTGCAGAACTGTCAATTTAAATAATAAACATACTCAACTCCTGTCTCTGAAAGCCCTGTAAAGCATTCGGGGTCGTAGGGTCTTCGCACCACAGTGGATACTTTTAAATTGCTATTGACTAAGTGATAATCGTTATCTGGTTTCTCTGTCTTACCAACTAGTTTCAGACTTTAGCATTCAGCCTGCTATATGTTTAACTTTTTAAAGCTGCTTTATGGGCTAATCTAAGCGAAGTCAAATTGATAAATTAAGATTCTTTTCTGTAGTGTAGGGTAAACACTAGAAAAAATAGTAGTTCAGTGGTACGAGCCGTATAGCTTAGCTGAAGTTGGGAAAGATCATACTAAGGTATTTTTATCAGAGGTGGCAAAGGTTACAGGTTTCATTATACTTTTTCACAGTAGTTGTGCAATCATCTCATATTAATGCCTAAATTGCTTTGTAAGTGCATAATGAACAGTAGTAAAGCAATAATATACATTTAATTATTAATATTTTATTTCAGAGAGCTGATACTGCTGAGGCAGTATTGAAAACCATATGGTTTTGGTTTCATGTAGTCCCAATTTCCAAAACTGCAGTGCCGTTATTCTTATAAATATAAACTACCTAAGTGCCATAATTTCAGTGGAAAGCTTTGCTCAGTTTATAGCAAGTCAGGTTTACTCTTCACTGGTTCCACATGGTACATGAAGGGGCTTTCAAAATTGTGGTATTAATTTTAGATACACTGCTGGTAGTGGGTGACTTTGAGATAAAATCCAATCTTACGTTTTAATCAGAGAATGACAACTAATCTGGCAGTATCTTTTATCGTACTGGACACATGGGATAACCTTTTTACCTGGCTCTTCTTATGATCCGAGGGATCTCAGCTTTATGTGTAGATGCTTGTAATGCACTTGATAGTTCTGGTGGGGAATACATGAAAAACTTGTTCTGAATGGAAGTAAATAGATATGTGTGTACAGACGGATATTGGAGATTGTTTTACTGGCAGGTTGCAAAGTGATGATTCATTGAACCCTCTCTAGGTTTACATAAAGCAAATAATACTTTACATTGAATTGTGGTGGCAGAGAAAAATATAGCAGCCAAGAAGTTTCATAATTTCATTACAGGTGATGACAGACTTGATAAAAGACATCTTTATAAATGCAGGCAGTATGTTTTTGGTAAGCAAAATACAACCATGGAGTTTTTGAGATCTGAGCATCTTCACACTTAAATTTATTGTTGTCTGTGTTGCTACTTACCAACCGGTATAAAGCCTAAATAGTGTACTAGAAAGATGCTGCATTTATTATGTTGTATATTTTACTTACTATAAATAAGTAGTGCAACAGTGCTAACTAGTTACCAGACTAAAGGAAATCACTGACTTTGTAAGACAGAAAATCACATTGCCTGATACTCATCTATAAATGGAAATGTGATCACGATCCTGAAATATGGTTCTGGATACAACTATCAGTGATCAAGCAGTTCTATTCCCCTGTTTTAACTTCTGCTGGATTTTATTAGAAATGCTTCATTAAGTCACATTATTCTGCAGCTGTTTGTTCACTGAAAATTAAAATAAAAATCAGGAAATTTATCCAGCAAAGCAGAAATATTTCCTGTGTTAAGTACTGAAAGTTCAAATAATAATAAAAAAATCCTTTAGCATCAGTGTGCTTGAAGCACTGAGTACATCCTATTTTAGTGATATATGGATGGCATTTACAAATGCAATTCATCAATGTATTTGTTAGTCAAACTCATCAAACAAAGAAGATAAATGACAGTAAACAAAGACTGCGTGGTAGTACAGAGGCTAAAGCAAGGGAAGACCCTATGAATCTAATTAATGTTCAGTCTCATATTTACAATCTATATTTAAACATCTCATTTAAATGTCTTTCATCGTTTTTCTGCTGCAGCTCCAGGTGATTCAGGTAACAATAGCTTTTCATTGGAAAATGCATTTTTCATTTCCCTTTTGAAATGCTGAATTTTAAAGGCATTGAGGCAAAAGTTGTGTTAGGATGAATATAATAGGAGGGTCTTATGCCAGAAGAACTAAATACTGACCTGTCCCTGTTCGTGACCATTTTTATATGTTAAGAGGGGCATCCCCAACTGATGTAGGCTTTCATTGCTCCCTAGGAGTAGTTGAAGCTCTGACATTTTAAACCAACTGGAGTATTTGCTCCGTTATCTTTAGATCACTGAATTTAAGAGTGAACTTCAAAAGGGTTTTGCTAGCCTTTTTTTTTTCTTTTTCCATGAGAAAACGTTTACATGGTATATTGAGCTTCACAGAATCCATTGTAAGTGCACATCTTCACATTTGAAATACTTTCTAAAAACACAAGCTCGCTCTGGGAGGTATTTCAATAGGAAATGTGGCCCTGTGATTTGGTTTTGTAAGCTGTTAGTGTTTACTTCAAAATACTTCTCAAGACTCAGTTAGATGTCTAAAACTCATCAGACATAGGAATGAATGCAAAAACATCAACAGTAATGTTGTTCATTTTTCCTGGTGACAGCTACAGAACTATCTCCTTTTGCTCTTGGTAGAACTTGGGAAGATAGCAGGTTTGGTGCTTTGCTTCTTTATGCACCCTTGCGAGCCACTCGTTAGCCATGTGTAGTGAATTCTTTATCAAAAGAGAAGACAAAATAGTAATGTCCCCTTGATATACTTTTTCATACTACTAGTGCAGAGCAGTCACATTTTTAAGATAAACAATTGAAGGCATTTTTATATAGCTTCTTTCATGCCATATGTTTTGAAAAACACTTTGGAGATAGAAGAGAGAAAATAAAGACATTGTGCTTTACAGTACTGGTTATGGCAGGACACTACATACTTGGCTTTTTTCAGTGACTTCATCTCATTTTATCTTTCTTAGCTTTTCCTTTTGTTTGGATACATCAGTACAGTGATTTGTAGAATGCACTGTAGCTGTAGCTATTGTTTGAAGTAGCACTAGAAAAGGCTTTGTATGGATTTGATTCTTAGTCCTTAAATAAATACTTACAGGAGTAGCTCCTGTATCCTTTGTGGTATAGAAGAATTGCTTATATAATTGCACATGTAAAAAGTTGGAAATTGTTTTTTTCCTCTTCTTCGAAGCTTATCAAACCTCATAATCTGTGCTATGTTAATAGCTTGCATTTTCTAGTTGCCTCACTTCACATCTTGCTGATCTTGTAATATGAAACTTGAACACAGGTCTCTCGGTACCAGGACAGCATTGTATACAGCTGCCTCAACTGTGAGCATCCCTTTAACAATGCCAAGGGGAGAGCCACAGTACAGGGTAGCACACAGGTGAAAGCACACATGGGTTTATTTGGAGTCCTGGGTGTTTGCTAATCTTCTATACCTATATCACAAATTGGTGTAACACTGCAAAAGGTGCTTTAGATTGACAAATTTTACAAGAAAATAAATAATCACAGTTTAACAAACTTAACTGGCTGTATAAATAGCAAAAATAGAAATGCATCAAACACTTTTAAAATAGATAACTAAATGTTTAGTCTTGGTTGTATACTGACCTCTCTCTGAAATATTTCTTGCTTCCTCTGTGCAATATGAGATTCAGTATTTGAAGATAAAGTACTGGACTAGATGGACCTCTGGCTTGATCCAATAAAGCAATTTCCTTCTTGATATGCAAGGAAGTGGTATTGCAGTACTGCGTATTTTAAATGCCTTACTAGAACCAAACTGCAATTGCTTAGTGTACTGGTTTTGCTTTATTTTTCACTTTTTAAAAGTAAGATTTAATACATTTCTAAAATAAATCTGTGAGTAACATGCAGTCTCACACCAACTCTTTTAGAGACAGGAGCACAGATCTGACAAGTCTCTCACATTTGCAGTGATACTCTCATGTTGGATTTCTTCTACTTCCTCACTGTGGTTTCTGCATCACAT